GTTTTACAATAAGAATTTTATGTTAATCCCTAACGTTCTCAATTACAATATTTTTAAAATAAAGTGTGAATTTAAAACACTAATAAAATATTTTTCTAACATAATTTTGAAATTATATTTAGATAATTTATTTTCTAAAGGAAATAAGACGATAAACATACTTCCTACAATAATAAAATTATAAAAGAGGAAACCAAATCTAGAAATAGAAAACAGTAACTTTATACAAATTAATTTATTGTTAACGAAACCAAAACTGGAAACTTTTGTATATCAGTGGAAAATATATGAAAGATCGATGCGATTTACGAGTTTTCACATTCGTGTACTAAGGAGCGAGTTATACAAATACATGTTCCAATACTCAGAATCCAACAATGACTAAAATCTAAAACTTTGTACAATTGCAGATATGCGTATGCGTATTTAACATTATATATACTTTTATAAAGTTTAAGTCTTTATATACATTTAAATCATTAAATATATGTATGAAGAACAGATCTGTTGCCTGTAAAGGTATCGTGGAGTTAATAAAAAGATTTGTAATACAGTGTAAAAAGTAAGAAGTGTAATACAGTGATCATTTTATCACTCGTTCCCAAATTTTCGTTTAGGAATTTTTAACTAAACATAAAAAATACTTAAAACTCAAAAAAAAAACGAAAGAAATGCGTTAATTTTGAAGAGAAAGCTTTAAAGTTTAACTTCCATTGTCTTGCCTTTCCGCGAAATCTGAGGCCCATCAGTAATTGTGTTTACAGCTGGATGACCTTGAGAACAGCTGGTATTGTCTTTCGCGAAACATTCTCATAAAATCTACAGGAGGAGAAGGGTTTAAATTAGGGTGAATACTAGCCGGCGGTATATTTTAAAATATTTTTCAAAAATTACGTTTTTTATTGGAGCTTCCAGCTTTTTCCTTTACCCTCTGGATACTAAAAAAAAAACGAAAGAAATGCGTTAATTTTGAAGAGAAAGCTTCAAAGTTTAACTTCCATTGTCTCACCTTTCTGATGCCCATGAGTAATTGTGTTTACAGCTGGATGACCTTGAGAACAGCTGGTATCGTCTTTCGCGGAACATTCTCATAAAATNCTTTTGTACTTACATCTGGGTATCTCGGTATTCTACCCTCATTTATGATATTTCCTGGGAAAGAAGTAATACCTGAAAACTTTGCCGAGCTTGCCGAAGCCGTGAAAAGAAAAGAATATTCTATTTTAACTATTCACAAATCGAAAGAATTTTGGTTGTTTATGGTAAACTTTTCTTAATTTGCATGTATACCATGAAAGTTAATTTTCAAAATTTGTCTAGTTTGGTATTAGGAGGTTGCTCTCTAAACAAAAAGATTTAAACAGTATAATTATAAATTTAATATGAAATCATAAATGAATAAAATACTGAACACAATTTAATATTTTTATTATTTATAATTTCAGCAACCGAATCTAATAAAAGAAATCAATCGCGATGAAATTGTACCCGTGTTAGGCGAATCAGCGTTATCAAATGTGTTGGAGAACGTCATGGATAGTGAGAGTAAAGCTCTTAAAAAAGTTATAAAAGGAGGTTATGCATTAATAATATCAGAACGTCTCATAAAACCAGAAATTATGAAAATGGGAGAAGATAACTTTTTCGTGTCTCAAGACGTTCTATTTTCATCGTACAATTACATTTCGATGATGGGACAAGTGTTTAGAAATAACGATGATCTGGACAAAATGTATGACTAATTTACTTTTTATATTTTAAATATGGTTAACAATAGACAGCCTTTTAAGACAAGGTTAGATTAAGATTGCTACGTATGTATGAACATTGGAACTACAAGGGGCGTTCAAAAAGTTCCCGGGAAATATAAAAAAGACACAGAGTCCTCAGAGAAACGCTACATAAAAGTGCCAGTGCTGCCAGCTAAACCACACACACACCAACAAAAAAATATTGGAATAGCCCAAGATATAGCCAAAGATTGCAGCGCCACAGCATTAGCGAAAATTTAAATTTGCCGACTGGAATTCTTTCGGATAAACGACGCTCTACTGTATTTAAAATTAAAATATTACTCTAAATCAGAAAAGACGGTAATTGGATATAGAATATATCTGCTTCAATAGTTAAAAATGTCGAATAAAAACTCAGAAAAAATCATCGAAGATGCTTACTTGTTAGAGAAGTTTTAGATCTCAATGACAAGCAAATAGTATAATATTGGAAAAAAGCAATGAAAAGATCGAGTAGAATCATATGGAGATAAAAATGTGAAGTGAAGAGGGAAATAAAGCTATCTATTTCCTACAATTTGTTGAAAATCGTAGTTATATGTGTTTTTTTACCTAGGCTATTCTGTTAATGTGCTGTATGTGAATTCACATAAATGAGCATTTTAAATTTGTCGATTAATAAAAAATATATTAATGTATTTACCTTATTCTATGTACAAATTTCCTTAATGTTTTACTCCATATTTAGACGACTTATTGGTTGCCATAACAATTAGTTCCATTTTTTTTTTTTTCGTTCCATATTCGAATCTTATAAGAAGAAAAGAGTAAATAAAAGGGTAGTGTACCGACAAAAACGATAGTGTAGTAAATCTTATAATATAATGAAAAATATTTCATAAGTCTATCAATCTTATTTATTAGCAATACTATGAACTTCAAAAACTAATCACCATTCCTCACATTACACAAGGTAATGCAATACAAACACACATAAAATAAAATCATCATCATACATTAAGTTAAAATAATACTATACACAAATTTCTCATTTTCAATTATTATTAAGGAAAATGTAAGAATGTAATCTTCTACATGAATGTAATCTTCATTCTTAAATGCACAAAAGTCTTTTTATCACAGAATAGATTTAATAAAACAAATACTAATGGAAAGATAGAACATAGATTTTTTTCTTGTGAAACAACATAATACTGAAGCAATAATAATAATAATAATAATAATAATAATAATAATAATAATAACTCTCCGAACTAATAATAAATTCTAAAATAAAAATATGTAATACATAGGTAAATAAATAAGTAGGTAAAAATAATAATTAGGTACCTATTTTAATGCTTTATTAAACCAAAATACAGAAAATATTTGTACTATAAATTTGCCAGACTCACGATGATAGATAACTGATTCGCATCATCCTAGTGTTGCCAAATACAGTATTAGTAGTGATGTACACAAGG